GCACAGGGTAACAGCTGTAATGGCTTTTTTCTGCTCAATCCAATTCAGAATCACACAGACCAAGGGTTTCTCATTTATTTCTTTTAAATCAGGGGTAGCAAGCCAAGCTCCTCTCTGGTAAGATCAAAGCAGAAAAATGGATTTAGGTTTTTCATAAGATTAAAAATAAATGCTATGGAATGGAGAGAGTAAAAAATATAATGCATCAAAAGGAAGCAAAAGGGGAGAGGTGACTTCCAGGACCAAAGCAGTAAGAGATGAGCCAAACCCACGGGAATTCAAGCAACAAGATAGCTGTGTATAAATATACACATATGTATACACATATACATCAAGTAAGCTGGAGTGCACCTTTCAAGTAATTAAATGGTGCTGGCCAGATCCCGGTTTGTTTTCTGCTTTACCCAGGAAGCGAATGGTAAATTTAACACATAGAATCACAGAACCACAGAACAGTTTGGGTTGGAAAGGACCTTAAGATCAGTTCCAACCACTGCCATGGGCAGGGAGGCCTTGCTACACATGTCCATCACTTCTCCTCCTCCTCGCTGCCCATCACATCACCAAAACCTGGCCTTGAACACTGCCAGGAATGGAGCATTCACAGCTTCCTGGGGCAGTCTGTTCCAGTGCCCCACCACCCTCACAGTAAAGAACTTATTCCTTATATCTAACCTAAATCTCCTGTTATGTTTTAACCTGTTACCCCTTTTCGTATTCAATAAAGTTTTGCCATTAGAAATTATTACATATACATACAGGAGGTTTGTTTTCCCTGCGGTAATAGCAAGAGAGGAATTCCCTTTGGTTTCAGTGCAAGCAAACCCCAGTGCATCTGGATAACAGAAATCCCAAAGATTCCTTAAGAAAAGCAGGGAATCAGTGTGGAAAACAGGGGTACTTATTATTTTCAATTAGATGTTATGATCACAGTGCGGGCCCATGAGCAGTCTGTACCTACTGCTGGCATCAGCACAGCATGGGGAGATGTCACGCTAATCTCTGCTTTCCACCCAGGCTTTTTTGGATCTGTTTCACAACCAGATTAACGTTCTTTAACTAGTATGAAAAAATGTGAAATAAAATACTTACGGGAAGATTATATTACGTATAAACTCATGCTCAACACAAGCTGATGGACAGAGATGAAACCGGACAGTTTACTTCAACATTCAAAACCACAGTATAACCTGAGGGACCAAAAGTACAAAACTGTTCCCAGAATACTGGTTAATTAAAAATATTCATACTGATGAATAAACAAACCTTAAAATATAATTTTCTGCTTCAAATATAGAATTTTTATTAAAGGACATTTTTCCTTTGCAATATGTGAATTTAGAAAAATTGAGTAGGAAACAAACATGAGAATTCACTTAAGTTTAAAACGAGGCAAACAAAGGAGATGTTTGCTCTTGAATTAAATTTCACATGTGAAGTTGTAGATGCGGAAAAATAGGTTTTCATCCAGCTCCATCCGATTTATCCTGCTGAAGAACAAAGCCTGATTATAAACCCCTTGGCACCTTTTGAAAGAAGAGGTGTGTTAACCCTTTACCCCAGCCACACTGCACATGGGCAATCGAATCCCACACACATCAGCTCTGACTTCAGCTCTGCAAAACTCCCCTCGTGTTCACGTGCTCTGCGGCTTCTTACTCCTGTTTTTGTGGGGTATAAAACAACCTCTGCATATGTCAAACCTCATTTAGCAGAAAAATGAAGCATGTCCACTTGTACCACTGCATTAAAAAAGCAATCTCAGTTTACCCCAACCACCACTCTCTAACTGAATGACTTTCTTATTCCCAGCTTCATTCAAGGAAATGAGGTTTGACTATTGAGTACTCATCTAAATCAGCAGAGCTTATAGAAGTGCTTTGGGACTGAAGCGAATGAAAGGAACATTCTTATTTCTGATAATGGGAAACAGTTTTTGTTGAATTATATAGTTACAGCTCTAAATTTTCAGTACTTAGATTATTAGGAATTCAGAAGGAATACTGACTGCCAACAGAAGTTTGTGTAGAGTGACATTCTCCAGTGATTTTGGGTTGGGTTTTGGTTTTTTTTTTTTTGATACTGGTTTTCTCACTGTACTTTCTAACAAGAAACTCCATGGCAGTTGTGTGAAGTGGATAATAAAGTACAGGGCTACCAGAACATACCCAATTGCATGCCAGAATCTCCACGACGGAGACTAGCACTAGAGCAACATTTTGGTCAGCATTCCTTGCTTTATAGGCAAACTGTCAATACTGAAATGTCTAAAAATGCTGCTAATGAAGGCATTCCAGCCTATTTGGGTCACAGAAGGGTGCTCACTTTTATAGGTTTGTTTTGCAAGACAAAATATGTAAAACTAACGAGGAATGAAAGAAAAACAGAAAAGAACCCAGATCCTTCACATTTTTAGACCAATTTCTAGTTGTACAATCCATCAAACCATAATATTTTTATTAGTTTTTGCATCAGGACCATAGAAGCCCTTAAGAATTCACGAGATGGATGCCCTTTCAGTTGGGATTCAAAATTAAATGATCTGAAAAGTCATTCTTATGGTATTGTAGTGACTGCACAGCCATAACAATCTCTCAAGAATTTTAGTACAGCATCAAGATAAATGTTGAGGTCCTGGCTATAGTGAACTTAATATGAAAAATAACTAAGGGAGACAAGCAGGGTAAACAGATGCTCTCCTCCCCTGAAGCCCACGTCTAAACATTACTACACAAAACAAAATCAAACCCATGAAAACAGTATTCTGCAGTTCAGAAGATGAATTACAAATAAAATATGCAGCTGATCCTAGCCTAACCTTACGAGAAACGTTCCCTCTGAAGACTCTTGGTCATATGTTCTCAATCTCTGCCTCTTGGACAGAAGCAGCGTGAGGAGAAAGAGAACTGTTAAAAACAAGGATGTCAGAAGTTTTGCTGAGGAAAAAAAGAACCTTACTATTGAAAAGTCAGAGGCTGTGAATAACAGAAGGAGACATAATGAGAATGCATTTCTAGCTGACGTACCAAACACAGTCAGTCTTCAAAGGCAGAACTGCACCCATGGTGAAAGACCACCAACCTACCTGAAGAGAGAGCCAGGCAAAGCCTTCAGTACCAAGATTTTCAGTCTTTGAGCTATAATTACTTCTAGGATTTCTTATTGTTATGTTGATATGTTATTGTTACGATAAATCTCTGTATGAACATACTCTTCACACTTGGCACAGAACCTCACAGACTTTTCACAGTCACAAGCATTTCCTAGAAGGGAAATAATTCCTGAATTACTCTGCTTGGGAATGACTTATTTGTAAGTGACACACCCTGTGATGTCTAGAAAACACATAAAACATTCCTGAAGACATTTCCTCCCTGGGCAAGGACATAAATCCTCCAAAAAGGGAAAACGGATGGGAATTACTCATAGGAATAACCTGGCTCAGTGTTGAAGTCTCTTTTCTTTGAAGTATAAACATAGTGTGACACAGCTTAGACTAATGTAAACACTGGCAAAATACTAAGAAACACATCTTGAGGGACATGCAGTCTTAACATCTGAATGCAGCAGACCTCACTATGCTGCTCTCCTTACCTATTTTAATTGATTTGTACACTCCCCATTCCACACTGGTGAAGTGGATTACATTTTCTTGAAATCTAGTGAATGCTACTTCATGGCTTGATACACCTTTACAATCACTGTTAGCAGAAGAGACTTGCACATGTATCAGTCTAGTGGCTAAAGGAAACCTCTCCTGAACTCAATTTCATCTTGTACCTGAGCTGAAAAATGCAAAGAGAGGAGGATTCTCAGTTGCACCATAAACCAAAGATAGACTCCTTATAGTTTAAAGGCATGTGTGCTCCCCTTGAAAGCAGAAGACATTCGGGATGTACAAGGAAAGCTGAGTAAGAGTACAGCTTTCTGAAGAAGACAAGAAAGCCAGTATGGCCAATATGAATATACAAAGAGAGTGCTTTGCAGGGGCAGCATTGCCATCCCAGCTTTCTCACTGTCATTTCTAAGTGATAAATTATTATTAAGCAGCCATGCTAAAATATACAGGCCTTGCTTTATTTTTAGGCTTTGATTTGGATGCCAAGCTCTTCGAACATCACCCAGTCTGAGAACCACTATTAAAAAAAGAAACTGAAGAGCAGCCAAATTCTTGGCCTGCTGCAAACATTGTATTCAATAAGCTGTGGTTCGGTTGGCATTGTACTTGTGCGTCAAGAAATATCCTAAAGAGAAGTAGGAATTTACATAAAGCGTAATACTTAACAGGGACATTCCCAAAAATTGGGTGTGCTTAACCCTTTCTTTCATAAAAAAAAATAAGTAAATGTCATTTGAATTCAGTGATGTAGAATTTGTGACTGTGCCCCGCTGATTAATATATTAAATGCGTTAGGAGCCATATATTGACAATAACCACACAGCAAGTCTGCAGAAAAACAAAATACAAAGCAGCACCTCCCCCAGTAAACTATATTTTCCTAAAGCACACCATTAAGATAATCAGGCTCTGGCAAATGTGCACCCTTTCCACTCAAGCTTAGCAAATACGAAAACGTTGCTTTCTTCAAACTGACATGAAGTTTCCCATAAGTTTCAGTGACAGGTATCAGACTGTTGCAGCCCAGCTTTTTATGGGTGAATCCCAAACTGAGGTATTGCCACAAATGGCTGAACAAAGGAGGCAGAAGGAACAAAAATGGATAGCTCAGAAGAACTGGTCACATTAAAAAAAAAAAAAATCATAAATTCATGTTATAAAATAAGATTTGCAGACTCAAAAGCTTAACTATCACATTTTTAGATGGTAACATAATCTAAGATAGGTATCTTCCTTACACACTTAAATCTTACTTCTCAGTTTGACAGCAAAGCTTGCCAGATAGCATCTATCTTCAAACACTCCAGAGCTAAACTCTTACCGCACCGTCCAGTCAAACCATATTCATTCCTAAGGCAGAGAGCAACTTAGAGCTGCACTATTCATAAATACACATTTATTTCTCATTAAAAATGCATAATTACAGCATTTTAAAGCCTTTTCCCCTAGAAAAGTAGTTAAGCAATAGTACAAACAAAATTGTTAGTCTTCTGCAAATACAGTTTTAATTACACTGAACAGAAAACACCAGCAAAAGGCTAATACTTGCAGTTATGGAATTTTTCTTTTTTTAAATATTTTCCATTTTTGTTATAAACACCATAGCAAATAAAAAAAGCTGTTTAAACAGTGAAAAATATTTGAGCTCTTGATCTATATGTGGTAAAGCAAGTATTGCAAGGCAGCAATACACTAAAGATATCTGCAGACATTCAAATGGTGTATTTCACAGAAGAAATGAACAGGATGAAACACTGACTTAGTCTCACAGTTTTGATTCATTAGATTTCTTTCTTTCTAAAAGACTTTTTCCCCTCTTTAAGTGTACCTACAGGCAGGCCATTCATTGTTTCTGAAGGCCAGATTCTCAACTGATGCAGTGATATAGCTCCAATTTAAGTAAATGGGTATCATTTATTCCAGGTGAGAACAACCAGATCATCAGAACTCTGCAATTCGCAGGACATATTCGAGGTGTGACCATTAGTCTAAAGGGCATTTCCATTCTCCTGTCGTTGCACGAAGATGACAGCACTTTACTTCTGGCTGTGGATCACCCACATCTCAGAAGTTAATGCAGCTTTTCACAGTTCTCTTATTGGATTTGGATTGCTCCATGTTCTATCTGCATTTCTGGCTGGATCGCTGATTGAAGGGTATCAGTGCCCTGCAAAAGGAAACATCAGTAAATCAATACAACAGTGCTTTCCACTCATGTAGCCAAGGGAACGTGAACATACAGCAACACAAAGTTCTTGTGTATACACCAGTGCAAAATCTGTATGGATATCATCTCTATGAGAGAATTGAAATGGGAATACACTTACAAAGGCACCAAAAATAACAAAGAATCCACACGAAGCCCACATAGACTATTGCCCTTCAGGCTGGAAAGAGAAGACTGAAATAATAAAACCATGATAAAGATCTGTAAAATCATGAGTGGCACAAAGACAGCAAATAGAAAAAACTATTCTCTCTCTTCCCAAAAAAAGACCGAGTCCCAAAAGGAAACAAAATAAAACTCGTGTGTGGCATAACATGCACCAAAGCTGCAGAAGGACTCGTCCCAGCAAGATGCACATGCTGACAGCTTGGGGGTATGGAGTGTCATGGACAGAAGTTCACTAAGGGTGATCATAGAAAAGAGAGTAGGATGTCGCAGAGTGACAGAACTATTGTAGGTAAGGTGAGTAAAACTACCTGCTTGGCCTGTGCTTTCAATTTCACCAGCTGGTGCAGGATATGGTCTAAAACGGCTGTCTTTACCCACTGCAGTCTTTCTCTATTTTGTGTAAAATGAGAGTATTGCTACTATGGAAAACTCCTTTCTTAAATAAATTTCTTCCTACAGGCCTGATTCTGTTCACTTTCCAAGCAGAAACAGTTCTCCGTGAAGGAATTTAAAGCAAATACAGTCGACTTCAGCTCTCAGAGGAAGTCTCCTTAAAAATCACATTACTGCCTACCAGAAGTCTGACAAGGCCGTGAAAGGATAATCCCATAGCGAACTGTCTTTTCGGCCAAGTTAGTTGGAGTAAGGAGAACTAGATCATGACACAAACTCCATCCTTAGAGCTGTAAGATGAATAGCATTTAAGAGCAGCTGTATTGGCTTGGATAAAGCCCATCACACCCAATAAGCCTTCCCCTGATAGCAACCAGTATCAGAAGCATAGATAAACTACAAGGAAAGGGCAAGCATTTAACGATATTTTCCCGTTCACTCCCACAGATTCCAGAGATCTGCCCTTGATGGATTTTCCCTCCATAAAAACATCTAATAGATACTTTATGTAACGCCTTGAATACAAAATAATTTCTGTGGCAGGAATTCCACTCTGAAAAAGTCTTACTTGAAGCCCTGCTTTATAGTCTCAGCCTAGGATCTGCAGGATGATCCACAACAACACAAGGGTGGAAACTCATCAAGTTTTCCCATCCTTTAGGTCTCACTCTCCAGTCTCACCTTACTTACACAAATGAAAACACTGGAGTTTCAAAATTATAAAGCACTGCTCCTAAATCAACGTTTTGTTGTCAAATAATTTCCTTTCAGTTCTCTGCCTTGTTGCCAGGAATTGCAAACAGGTACCAGATTTTTTTCCTGTTCAACTTTCTAAGTTATCTGGTGTTTACTTAATTGTGCAATAAATTAGTGCCAAAGTGATAAATAATTCTACCAGATTACTAAATTTGATAGCAATTCAAGTGACCAACGTTTTCTTTCCCATTAGAGGAAAATTACTGAAATATTGTAATTATTAAATAATGATGATGACAGTAATGCTGCGTATTTATCCAACATTCAGACCAGAAGACTGACCAAAGCGATTAGAAGCATGCTTTGGATTTGGAATTATGGTGGGGTTTTTTTTCCAAATCTAACAACATTTACTATCAGCATATGTATTTCAGCTTAGAATTAATCCAAATTTCTAAATTTTGCAAGCTGCTCTAAGTAAGAATGCTATTGAGACATGAAAGCAAGCTTCAGCTGTGTTCAGAGAATGGATTTGTTTCAAATATCCTCACTCCGATCTTCAGCTTCCAAGTGCAACTGCTTCCAAAGAAGGTCAAAAAACTGGTACTTTAAATAAGCTCACACGTGGTGCTTCAAACATGGAATTGGTGTAGACCATAGCAGCTCCACTTCTGTAAGCTTTGATTGATAAAACAGATAGAAAATCTTTGAGAACATCTCAGTACCTTGACATAAACTATATGAAAACAGATGAAAGTGTCATTACAGCCTCACTGAGAGGGCTTTTCCTTCAGGTGAGATCTTCCCTTTCAGATAAGACATCTTTTCTAAAATGATGCAGATCAATATCCATACTTTTAGTCCCCACAAAGGTATTGAACTCTTTACATAACTCAGAATAATGAAAATATCTCAATATGTGTAATTTTAGCCCTCAAAAAAAGCTATTGAACTATTCATGTAACCCAGAGTAACACAAATACCAAGTTGGTTTCTCCAATTCATTAACAGATCCTTAGTTTTCAGTTTGTGTAAACTGAGGAAGTATTTATGGCAAACTTATTTTTCACCTTGTCTGTTTTTCCTTTCACAGCCTTCTTATTCCACTTTCCTTTTCTGCTTTTCTTCAGCTTTGTATAGATCTCTGTGGCTAACCACAGTATTAAAACCTAACACAGTACGAAGTGTCCCTGAAGAGAAAAGCGACTCCTCTGGTGGCTGCCAATTATATGGAAGATAGATGCCAATGAACTGTGCTTCGTAACCTCCTGTCCCCCTGGTCAGAGGTGCTAGCAGAGAAGGGAGGACAGGCATGAGAAAGAGACCCAGGAGAAAGTCCGCGGGAGGGAAATATGAGAGCTTCCCAGGCCTAGAGTGAGGACAGCAGCATGAGAAACACCTCTCACTATCTGATGCATATAAGCTTTATTAACTGCATGGGACCAGCAGTACTCGAGGATTTGTAAGAAATAAGGCATGATCCCTCTAAGCAACAGTCTTGTTGTCTAGGGTGCTATTACAAATGACTGAGAGTAAAATATGGAGACTGTTAACATAGAGGTTAATTTAGAAAAGATGGAAAATGCCTACCTAGGGCCCATCTATGTGTAAAGATCAGCATACAGAAAACTTAAGAGTGTAATCTTACAGCACAGCATTCTCACACATCAGTTAGGCTGATCAGGGAGCATCATTATCTGAAAAGCTATTTGTAGAATCCAGGTGAGGAGCAGCTCAAAGAGTTTAGAGCTCCAGCTCGCCTCCTAGCACCAGCCGGTGCAGACAGCCCGTCAGCAATACACCTGTACACAACACAGCTACTGGGACACTGATACGCTTTAATTTCATATACTGAACTGATCAGCAGACTGCATTGTTCAGGGAAGAAGCACTGAGTACTTCAGCTTTGTGCACACAAAGTCTGAATGTAATTCCTTTGATTTCTTGTGCAATTTTTTATTTCCACCTCAAGAGACTCAATATCCAACATAAACATTTATAGCCAGATCAGATTTTACAAAACTGTGGAGGTATCAGACAAAAATCCACTCTAATATTTGCTGCTAAGGATACCATTATATTTTGGCTAGCAAGCAACAGCTTATTCTTCACAACCACTTGATATTCTCTAGTAAAGAAGCCCACTAAGTGGGGTTCAGAGAGGAATGTGTAACCAGCTTCAAAAAACATAACTGTCTTAAGTCAGCACTTTCGTGTTGTCACCAGTCATAGCTTCAAGATGATGAGGAGCTTTTTCTTGACTCAGATACATGAGTGCTCTTAAAAGGGAAAACAAAAAAGAACTCCTTCACCATAAGTGAGAAGATCAAGTATTCACTTACAATTGCTAATATTCCCGCTCCTAAGAGAAATCCAGGCTGTTGATGAAAATAACTGGAAAACTGCTGTCAGAAAGGGAATAACATTTTTTAGAGAAACCTCAGTCTGAAAAATACTTTTTGGATAGGTTCCTAGCAAGTTTGCCTTGTCTTTTAACATGGCTCTCAGCCTTCAAGGATGCAGAAAAACAATGATGACCAAAATAACTATTCTCTAGAGGCATTGAGCAAGAGAATTGAAGCAGCAAGTCAAAGCCCATTTATACCTTTAACAAAATGATGTTTCTTATTATAGACATTTTAGGTTGAGTTTTTTTACTGTTTGGAAATAGGATCATAAACTCATTGGTATCGCAGTATTTGTGGGCAGATTTACAGTTCATCTGACAGGTTTCAATCAAGTTAAGGGCATTCAAATGGAGAAAAGACAACATATACATACTTGATTAGTTGCAGAGTGGTCTGTCACTGGTGTCAGCTGCACATACTGGACTTGGATATCACTCCCTTGGAGCGGGGACCCATCAACACCCCCTGAGGCAGGCTCAGCAGAAGCAACAGCTATCAGCTGAGCACCCTGCAACACCTGCACAGAAAGCAATGGAGAAAGCAGCCTGTGAACAACCACAACCAGAAATGCGTGAAGATCCACCTAACTTAAACCAGATGGCAAAATCAAAACCCGTTACACAGAAACACAAGAAAACTTGTCTATCTGTAACAGTTGCTTTAAATCATGTGGGTTTCTGAGAGGACATGGTATGCACATGGCAAGATTCCCATATTATATGCTCACCACATTTTGCCTTATGAGATTCATAAATTCTGTTTATGATTATTGCAATGACCAACTGGGACAGATTGCGCAGGTTGCACTAAGAATGTGACACTATCAATAGCACACAGCAGCATCACTGCTTTTACTGCCACAGAAACATGCACAGATCCAAGATACTCTTTCTCACAGCCAAAGGTATTTAACTTGTGACCATTTACTTCAGTAATGTTTATATTCCTATCATATATGAAGGAGATATAAGAATTACTTCTAATTAATGCTTACTCTAAATACATCTGACTGGTGAAGACTGTAAGTCTGGCATAGGCTTTAAACATCAAAGAACAGCCCATCCATCTTAAAGTGCTTGCTTAAAAGTGTTCTTGTGATTAGACTAATTTAAATTTACTTCTTGAACCACAAATCACAATAAAATACATGTATGCATTTTATGGCACAATGACAAGTCCCTTCAGCTAAAATCTACATATTCCACTTTAATTTTTATACGCTGCAAATAATGTATTTTTAAAATATGGCATTTGAATCACAGTGAACAAAAGACATGTTTCAAACGAAGGAGACAGAACAAAGAAGAAAACTAACATTCTTAACAAACTAACAAAGTATGATTTCTCAGCTGATCTGCGGGTGGGTGGCCATGAAGGAGTGGGTAGACCAGAAATGCTCTAGGGAGTGTGGGAGGCAAAAAGAGGTCACCTCCATAAACGACCTTTAGGGGTGTTGTCAGGGTTTTATAGAGATCTTGGGTGTTCTGAAATACAGGCAGCATCAAGCCGCAAAAGGATGCTACGTTTTGTTTTTATAGGAGTAAGCAAAATTCTCTCATCCTACGGTATTTGTTTTGGAATTATACAACACATACTGTTGGAACCACATTACAGTCTGCCCCATTGATTACCTGCAGGTCTTCAATGCATTTTTTCACTTTTATTTCTGTATTACAAACTTCAGTACAACTGTAAGTGACTGAACAAGCCCATCATTCTCACATACAAAGTGTTTTGCAATAAAGAAGCCTAAAATTTATAATGGTACCAGCTTCCCTGTTTATTGTATGTTCTCAACTGCACATCTCCTAATCCACTTCAGAACTCCCTCTTGTAGGAAACACTCTGGAGAAGCACAAATAACCTACTATGTACAGGAGCTGGGTAGCAGAGCCTTTTGCAAATGGGTCAGGTGCAAATATATGGCTTTTCTTTGGCTGTTCACTTGACTCCCAAACCAACACTTTAACTTTGTAATTTTTACCTGCCCTTGACCTTAAAATACAGGAGCTGTACCAAAAAAACACACAATCCGCCCTGAAAATGAACTTCTCTTCCCAATTCCGCTGGGCTTCTCCAACATCCTGCTTTACTGGTCCAACACAGGTAACAGAATATGGTTAAATGGAAAAATAATAAACTTCAATTCTAACAAAGCGGATTAATTCATGCTTTTAATACACACAGAACAAGAAGCTTCAAGTCACCCTTCCTTTTCACTTCAGCACAGAAGCAGGGAAGTATCCATTATGAAGTGTTGCTCAAGCTAACTCAGGCTAGTGAGAGTTCAAGCCTAAAAATGATCCTAAAAAAAATAGCGCCTTTAAAATCAACAAGCAGACAAAAGCCCACCAAATGTTGGGTTTTATTTTATTTTTTTCCCTTTTTGTAATAATTCAGTGGAGTATTTAGAAAAAGTACATTTGGCCATCTATTATTACTTGCTGTCAGTGGTAACAAGTTGTCTTGACAGTGACAAGATCTGTAGCTCTCCCGGAGCCTGGGCCCACTCTTTACATTGCACAATTATTTCCACTGCAAGCATAAACAACTGCACAGCTGGAACAGGGTTTGTTAAATTCCACTCTTCTTTCAGCTTGCATTTACCACCACAGATACATGCTTTTCCCCAAATAGAAAGCCCAGTGAAAAACATTTATCAAGAAAAATCAGAACACTTTAGGAAGGGTCTGTAAGATACTGGAGGCTCTCTGAGATGTATGTCTTTGAGAATGCTTTGAAGCTACCAATGCCCTCAAGCGCATTTTGGGACCTGGCCCGATCCTTACAAGTCTTCATGTCCCAAACCCTGGTGTCTCAAAGATTACCTACCACACTGCATGGTGACCCTGGTGAAGACAACTTAGCTAAATTAAAAAGCAAGCATGAACAAGCCCCTTCTCTCTTTTGCCACCTTTTAGAATAAGAAAATGTTCCCTAAAACCTTCAGACAGAAATATAAATGCATTTCTGTTAGTTTTGATTTTGCATAGTCCTAGAAATACCAGAAGCAAAAGTATTTTGTTCAGATGTTTAAGATGAAGTGTGAGCTCTTGGCATGGTTGGTGAATACAGAATCACTGACCAAACAGCTTTTCTTTAAAGATCTATAAGCTTTCAGTGAGAGCTATCAGAGCTGACAAGCATGATAACATGAGCTAAGGGACAGACAGATCCCTCCTACCCAGTCCAAAGGATATTTTGCCTACACACAGACATTCCCTGTCCCTCTTTACAGCAGCATTAACACAACCCCAGGCTCCCTGAGAACTGCAGCACGAACACAAACCTGGCCACCAACATCCCATGGACCTGAATCTTTACCTTTGTCCTTTCCTTTCCTTTCCTTTCCTTTCCTTTCCTTTCCTTTCCTTTCCTTTCCTTTCCTTTCCTTTCCCTTTCCCTTTCCCTTTCCCTTTCCCTTTCCCTTTCCCTTTCCCTTTCCCTTTCCCTTTCCCTTTCCCTTTGCCTTTCCTTTTTCCTTTCCTTTTTCCTTCTTCCTTTTTCCTTTCCTTTTTCCTTTCCTTTCCTTTCTCCTTTCCCCTTTCCCTTCCTTTCTCTTTTCCTTTCCTTTCCCCCTTTTTTCCTTTTGTCAGTCTGTCTTTAAAGTCTTGATGATTCAGGACATGCAGGCTACTGAGTCTGAAGGTCCTCTGTTTCTAACCTCTTCTTCAGTAAGATGCTTTCTGTATAAAACATAATAATAAAATTAGTATTAATAATGAAAGCCAGCTACTTTCTCTGCTCCTTTCCTTTCCATTTAAAGACCATTTTAGTCCATAACTAACAGTTCCCATTTTACATTCAACTGCCAGGGCAGGAAATAAAATTAAAAAATTAAAATGTAATAGGTTTTCCTTCAGTGTCTTCCAAAATTATTCAAGCACAGTTTCCAACCACAGCTCAATTCATATCACATCCTCTGCTGATTTTACTTATCACTGAAATATTCTTCTAGAAGCCCGTAACTTAAAATTCACCTTTATACCCCAATCTTCAGAAATAAGTAACTGTTTTGGGATAGCTGATGCTTGTTCACCAAAAAAACCCCATTGCTTGGGCTGGTCCTTGCCAGACTGAGCCTTCTAAAACACATTCTTGCTACTGTTGTGAGCTTTTTATTAATCTAGGCAAGCACATCTGTTTGCCTACCCATAAAAAGCTCAAAAATAAGACACGTTAGGATTTTGGTGTCTTTTTTCCATCATTTATTCCTATTTCTACTGCAGGAATGCAATAAAAGATGATGTTTCTTTTAAAAAATGAAGTTTTGAGTCACTGAAAGAGTGGCTGTTTATAGAAGGTTCACATCTGAAAATCCTGTAACACTTAGTGCCAGAAAGTAATAATTTCAGCAAATGTGACACAGAAGAAATTAGTTGTGCATAGGAAAAGAGAAAGATCTTGGTGACATGCTCTAGCTAAAACATTAGTTAAAAGGACAGTTTGAGCCCCAAAGTATAAGGATGGTTATGGGTTAAAGGATTCTTAGAAAACAAAACCCTAATACTTATCTATTATTGTCCTACACTGCCATTCATCGCTGATGGCAAAACTACAAGAATACGTTTGAATAGAAGACATTAATACATTCAAATAAAGACATGAATACATTCAAATAGAAGACACAGCTTCTTAAACTGATAGGAAGCTCTACTGATAAAAATGTTCACTTAAAAAAAAAAAAAGGTAACTTCCTCTAGCTGAAGCTTTTCAGTCTTCAAGTTAGTTTCATGCAGCCTGAAGATCAAAAATATCCACTGTATTTCATGCCAACTAAGCATTTATTTAGTGGATTTACAGGCTTATAGATGGTTTCATCTCACTAGTAAGTAGATTCTATATTTAGGTCCAAAACTCAAAACTTTTTAATATCAGAAACCTGTGAGTTCCTTGAAAACATCAGAGGCTTAGGCTAACCAAAGTCTCCATCACCTTGGCATTTACTAAGGAACCTGGAACAAGCAATGCAGAATGCCAAAAGAATGGAGCTGTATGGAAAAAGAAACCAAATCAAACCAATATTTTCTTCCATAAGATTGTCTTTTGCAGCTCTTAGTTTCACTTGATGAAGTAGAGCAAGACCCAATACTACGAAACAAGTCCAGAATGGAGGATACTGAGTACAAAGGAAAATCTGTAACACAATCTATTTGGTTCGATTTAACCAAATGGGTTCAGTTTAACCCTGGTCAACTGCATTGACAAGCGCATACCTGATGGTGGCCGATACAAATTTATTTTGATGATTCTATAGTGCAGTTCCAATAAAACTAAAGTGTTCATGTGATAAAAAGAAGCAGCAGCAAAGGATGGAGTGACCTCATTGTTCTCAAAGAAACAGTCATCTTCATGTTAAGATCAAACAGTATTCACTGAAAACCACGGTAACCCTTACATAGTATTTATCTATCCCATATGTATATAAAGTCAGAATGTACACAGCCTGATGATGTGCTATCTTTCCAGAGAAATAAATTCCCATTTAACCTGCAATTCGTCAGAACTAATATACAG